GGTAACAATAATTATTTGAGACCTCTGACGAATCAGGATAAGGATATTTTGACGAATCACAGAAAAATTTTAACCAATTTGACGCTAACGGTAGCCAAAAATGACCGTTTGACGCCTGACGGTAAAGGGCATTCCTACCCTCATATATTGTGAATTTATTTATTTTCTTGGGTACCAATCTTTGTAGATTGAGAAAAAGTTATGTTTTCCTAGATATTTGCTTTCCTGGTTTAGCAAAAGTTTGCAATCAAGCCTATAGAAAATGTATGCTTGGTTGAACATTTGAATTTTTCCCCTATACTCACCAAGTCAAAGAAAATTGGTATCTGATGAATAAAAATTAGTCTGAGCAGTAAATGTAGAGCTTGACATCAGGTTAAGACACTTTCCTATCATTGAAGACTATATATTCACACCTCTTTTCTGGTTTTATTGTGTTGTTGGGTTGCCTATAACAAGTTTTACAAAATATCTCCTTTTATAGGTTGTAAAGAGTGTAGAGGGATATTTTCTTTAAGTATGAATAAAAGATGTGGCCTATACGTAAATGAGTCACCAATACAACAACAAAATTAACTAAAGACATCTTAAGCACACTGGGTATCCCGATCCAAAATCCGTGGAGGGATACAAACTTTGGTTAGGTAAAATTTGGATCTAATTCCCATGCAGCCTAATCCTCTGTGGAAACAGATCCAGATTTTACTTACCCTCCGTTTGTAATTTCCGTGTAAATGCTCATCGAGATTGGATCAATCTGCAGATTTCATATCGGTATGCCCGGTGTGTAAAGGGCAACATGCTGTCTTCAACAGTTCAAAGGTGTATAAACAATATGTTAGTTTTTAATCATAAAGATCTCAGAATATATAAAAGTTGTGGATAAATTTAACTGAAACAATATAAAAAAAAAGATCTGCATGCCATTAAGGTCAATATCAATAATAGAGATCTCTTTTAGTTATTTTTGTCATTGAGGTTGCTGTTTCGTTTTTATATTCATACTATATATACTGAGACTGTGAACTGTTATTACTGAGGAATTTTGTATATTTAGACCTACATGCAGACAGATGGTTTTTCACTAGTTCAGAACTGAAATAACGTTATGTAGGTGGTATCTATCTATGTTTTGTGTGAGGTCATTGATTCTTTAGAGATCAGTAACTTTACTGCTTAAGCAATATGATTATACATGTGAAATTGGAAAACATGCAGGATAGAATAATATTCTCTGACAATGGAAAGAGATGTTTGTGTGTGTTACTTCAATCTAAATCCTTAATTGGAGTCTTAATAGGAGATCAGTTGGAGATTTTCTGAACATTTTGTAATATCATGCACAGCCAAGTTGGGTTCGTGTTGCTCAGTCTTTAGTTTTCTATGTAGTGTTTGTGATTTTATTTGTCTTTTGTTTTTGGCCATTGCGTTGTCAGCTTCCCTTGGAATTATGTAAAGATCCCTTGGTATATTCTGTCTCTACATGAATCCTACAACATATATTCTCATGGCTAATCATAAAACCAAGGCAGACTATTGATTACAGATTACTATTCTTGGAAATGAAAATTAATGGGGAAAATAGCTATTAGACCAGATTTGCGCCTACATGTCTGGTCTAATATAATTATCTGCATGGTCAGACCTTTTTAAGGATCAAGTTTATTTTGATTAGCTAACTATTTTTCTTGCAATTTGGTCATTAGTTTGATTGGAATTTTGCCAGAGCTATTTGAAAATTTTGTATCTGTTGAAATGTTAATTTGAAAATTGAACTAATGTCTTAATTTTTGTTTAAGTCTCCTGAATGAAGCTTAATTTTACTGACTTCAGCAATTTTGGTTTCAAACATTTGCAAATACACATGTAGAACTGCTGTTACAATCTACACATGTAGAACTGCTGTTACAATCTGAATAGAAATAGTGTCTTGCAATAAAATTGTCTCACAGTTTTAACCTAAAGGTTTTGGCTTTGATAGAAAATAGAATCAAACCCTCATTTTTATCATTATACGACCGCAAAAAAATTTTTGTGGTCGTATATTGGTATGACGTTGGCGTTGGCGTCGTCGTCGTCCTGCGTCGTCCGAAGACACATTGGTTTTCGCACTCTAACTTTAGTTTAAGTGAATGGATCTCTATGAAATTTTACAACAAGGTTCAATACCACAAAAGGAAGGTTGGGATTGATTTTGGGGGTTATGGTACCAACAGTAAAGGAATAAGGGGCCAAAAATAAGCATTTTTGTAACTTCCAGACATAACTTGTGTGTTAGTGTATGGATCTCTCTGACATTGTACCACAAGGTTCCATATCACAAAAGGAATGCTGGGATTGATTTTGGGGGTAATTGCCTCAAAATTTTAGGAATTAGGGGCCAAAAAAGGGGCAAAAAACAAGCATTTTTCTAGTTTCATGACAATAACTTGTGTGTAAGTGTATGGATCTTTCTGAAATTGTACTACAAGGTTCCATATCACAAAGGGAAAGCTGGAGTTGAGTTTGGGGGTAATTGCCGAAACGTTTAGGAATTGGGGGCCAAAAAGGGGCCAAAAATAAGCATTTTTCTAGTTTCCAGACAATAACTTGTGTTCAAGTGTATGGATCTCTCTGAGATTGTACTGCAAGGTACCATACCACAAAGGGAAGGCTGGGATTGATGATGGGGGTAATTGCCTCAATATATTAGGAATTAGGGGCCAAAAAGGGGCAAAAAACAAGCATTTTTCTAGTTTCAGGACAATAACTTGTGTGTAAGTGTATGGATCTTTCTGAAATTGTACTACAAGGTTCCATATCACAAAGGGAAAGCTGGGTTTGAGTTTGGGGGTAATTGCCCTAAACGTTAAGGAATTTGGGGCCAAAAGGGGCCAAAAAACACATTTTTCTAGTTTCCAGACAATAACTTGTGTTTAAGTGTAAGGATCTCTCTGAAACTGTACTGCAAGGTACCATACCACAAAGGGAAGGCTGGGATTGAGTTTGGGGGTGATGAATCATAAGGGGGTTCAAAAAATTTGGGGGGGGGGGGGTTTTCTTTTTCCTTTTTTTTTTCTTTTAAAATTTTCCATTTTAAGTTGGTTATTTCTGATTTATATTTAAAAGCAAATAATAATGATATGGTAGGAGATACACACCAAACAGGATGTGTAAATTATTATATAATAAGTATTGTGCAATAGCAAGAAATTTTCAATTGCACAGTATTGCACAATAGCAAGAAATCTTCAATTGCACAGTATTGCGCAATAGCAAGAAATCTTCAATTGCACAGTATTACACAAATAGCAAGAAATATCCAATAGCACAATATTGCGCAATAGCAAGAAATTGTCAATTGTACAGTATTGCGCAATAGCAAGAAATATTTAATTGCACAGTATTGTGCAAAAGAAGATACCTCGTATAAATTGCTTATTTCTTGACCTATTTCAATGGGGTTTTATTCTTGAATTCTTGGGTTCTTTAATATGCTGAATCTAACCATGTATTTAGATTTTGGATATTGGACCATAATAGGTGAATGTCCAATTTAAAATTTTTAAGTTCTTAGACCACATTCATTCTGTGTCAGAAACCTATGCTGTGTCAAATATTTAATCACAATCCAAATGCAAAGCTGTATCAAGCTTGAATGTTGTGTCCATACTTGCCCCAACTGTTCAGGGTTCGACCTCTGCGGTCGTATCAAGCTGCGCCCTGCAGAGCATTTTATTTTCTCTGTTATAATTAACTGTAGGAGAATTTTTTCTTTCTTCAGAAGTTTTAGTTGCAACTAAATTAATTTTTTGTTGTAACTTAAAATTGACTGCCCATAAATTATTGATTGTTGCATCAATGATTAAGGACTGTAATGTCTGATTGCTGTGATGTCTGAGATTCGTAGCATCCTTCATTTATTTTTCTCCTGTTCTGATTGTTAAATCAATTAATTTTGTAGATTTCCTTTGTAAACATTCGAGAAGTTACAAGGTGATGGTTTATTTTACCTGGGCGATAATTGTTGCAAGTGAACGGCAAACTCAAAAGAATTAATTCCAATCAAGATAATTATTACGCTTTGATTTCGAAGGAAATGGAATTTCCCAGTGCCATATCAATATTTTAAAAAAACAACAGTGGTTTGGTTTAGAGCTTTCAAAACATATTCAAAAAAGTAATTCTTATGTAATAAATTCCCACAGGGAATAATAATGAAAACATGATGGAAGGTTAAAGTCAAACAACAATTTCAACATTGCTGCATGGTTTTTCCACTTGATGAATAATGTGTTACATTGAAAACTTGAAAGATTAAAAAAAATAATATTGTCGTTTACAGATATGCCATGTATAAATGGCATGTATAGATCTATTAAAATGGCATCTTAATAAAGCCTTAAAAGAAGAATTTGTATGCTGTTAATGTAGAAGAAAGATCATTGTTTAAAAAATAATAGGCACTCTAGATTTAATTTGTAAAGTGTAAAACATGTGAAGATTGCATTCCCAAATGATACTCACAAGTTTACCTTAAACCTAAGAATAATTTCTCAACTTAGAAAATATGATTTATTAAAATGAGGTGTTGTTTTTTGTTTGTTTTTTTGTTTGTTTTTTTTTTTTTGGGGGGGGGGGGGGGGGAGGGGGAGGGGTATTGCTATTTTTTCTTTTAAAAAGTTCCTGTTTAGGTAGACTTGGTCACTGATGCACTGCATCTATGTGTCAGTGAGTCCTTCCATCTGTAACAATTTGTAAACGCTGCAATACTCAGCTTAGACCTTTTGAAATATGGTATGAACACCCTTTTATCATTTAAGATTATATGTTGACCTTTAGTGTGTCTTTGTTGTTTTATGGTGTATCTTGGTAGCTGTCTCTTTTGGGAAAACCCTCATCTACTTTTACTCATATTGTTAAAAAAAAAACTAGTATGGACACCTTATGTGGATAAATGGTTCTGGTTACTCTTTAGGTAATTTGATTTTATTTATAAATTCTTTTGTCTTTTGTTTTAGGTGCCAAAAGAAAAGGATTAAGTGGGACAGCTGAGGACACAACAGATACCACTGCCAACAAAATCTACCAAGAAGCTACCCCAGCTCCACCTAGCAATAGTAAACTGGTTTTATCAGGAGGGGAAGGATATGTAGATTTTAGGATAGGACTATACCAAGGTTAGTACTAGACTGCCATCGATTGGTCTAAGTTTAGAGTGTTTCACTGTATACGTTTTATTATTTGATAGTTTTAGTTTTACCTGTGAAGACATTACCTGGAGGTCAGCATAAGAATTACTTTTCTGGTTAACAATTTACAAATAACCTCAATATTTTATCCTTATTTTCACCTATGATGACAAAAATATGAATGGAGGTAGCTCATAACTAGATCTTGTCATTAAGTTATTGTCACCTGACCTTGTCCTCATTTCCATGCTCTATTGATCAGGTAAAGTTCTCAGAATGAGGTCTGTTCCTCAGTAACTATAGGTGGTAGATCAACAATACTTGGTATGTGCATTAGTTGAAAGGAGTACTGGTATAAACCAGATATTGGTTTGACATATATATGTCATATGATCTTTACCATAATTTCTAGTTTTGCTGGTTAATTTTAGTTTTCAGAATGAAGTCAGACCCTTAGTAACTTTTATAATGTATGATAGGTCAACCATACATAAGTCCGTTGGTTTTCCCGTTTGAATGGTTTTACACTAGTAATTTTTGGGGCCCTTTATAGCTTGCTGTTCGGTGTGAGCCAAGGCTCCGTGTTGAAGACCGTACTTTGACCTATAATGGTTTACTTTTATAAATTTTGACTTGGATGGAGAGTTGTCTCATTGGCACTCATACCACATCTTCTTTTATCTATTAGTATGCATGTATATTTCTTAAAAGAAGTAAATGTCTGTTTGACATATATGTCTTGACCTCAGTTCAGTCTCCAGTGGTCATGTTATGTTTTCTAGATGAAATATGTTCCTCTGTATCTAGAATAAAAGGTCAATGATATGTAGAATGAGAATTACTTACAAGGAGTATATGTCAATCCATCATATGGTCTGACCTCAGTCTCATGCTCCAGTGATCTGAAAAGTTTTCAGGATGAGGCCTTTTCCTCTGTTACTATGCATAATGGGTCAACTATTTTGTTGATTTGAATTTGATGTGGGATGTATATGTCTGTCTGACATATTTCATATAGCTTTTGGGCCTCAGAGGCCAGGTATTCTTAGTAGTTCATCTTCAGTGATCACTTGCTGGTCAACTCCAAGGTTAAGAGTTTGAACTCCAGTGGTGCATGACTATGTGAATTCAACTCTGACCTTAATTGACTAGGATTGCCAGTTTTCCTGCCGAAGGTCCGTGGTTATCTCCAGGTACTCCAGCTACCTCCCCCAAAACTGGCTGCCATTAAATAGCCAAAAGTGACATTTAAGACCAACTATTAATCAGTCATATAACAATAACCTTATTTCCTGTGGTCAGGTTAAGAATTTGGATTAAGTATTTAACTAATTCATAAGTAGAATATTTATTCCATGTGAATTACAACATAAACATATAATGAATATAAAAAAAACAATTGTGTTAATTTTTATACGACCGCAAAAAATTTGCATTCGTATATTGATATCGCGTCGTCTGAAGACATTTGGTTTCCGGACAATAATTTTAGTTTAAGTGTATGGATCTTTATGAAATTTAATCAAAAGGTTCAATACCACAAAAGGAAGGTTGGGATTGTTTTCTGGGTGATGGTCTCAACCGTTAAGGAATTAGCTATTAGGGGCCAAAAAGGGGCCCAAAATAAGCATTTTTCTAGTTTCAGGACAATAACTTGTGTATAAGTATTTTGATTGCTCTGAAATTGTACCACAAGGTTCAATACCACAAGTAGAAGGTTGGGATTCATTTTGGGGGTTATGGCTCAAACCTTTCAGGAATTAGGGGCCAAAAGGGGACCAAAACAAGCATTTTTCTAGTTTTCAGACAATAACTTGTGTTTAAGTGTATGGATGTCTCTTAAATTGTACCACATTTTACAAATAGAAAATTTCTTCAAATATTATTTTATTTGGAGGAGGAGGGGACAATTTTTTTTCCTCAAGATTTAAGAAATTATCAATTTTCCAAAAAAAATTTGGGGGTCACAATTTATTTTGCTAATTCTTTGAATATAGTCTGAAAAAACAGATTTACTAAGTATTGCGCAACAGCACAGTGTATTGCACAACAGCAAGAAATCTTCAATTGAATATAAATTCAAATCATATAACCAATTTCAAGTTCTTTGACTACATTTATTCTGTGTCAGAAACCTATAATGTGTCAAATATTTAATTACAATCCAAATTCAGACCTGTATCATGCTTGAATATTGTGTCCATTTTTGCCCCAACTGTTCAGGGTTGGACCTCTGCGGTCGTATCCAGCTGCGCCCGTGAAGGACATTTTTTAAAATTTCATATGATGCTTGCAAAATCCTCTCCCTGTGTATTGGAAGAGTTTCTCTGCAGTATCACATATGTAATTTCACTAGATGTTAAGCAGACATTCATCGTCATCATAATATATACTAGAACACACTCGCAACATTGCGGGTCCGTGACTGAATTAAAGTAAAGTACCTACGCCTTATTTTTAGCCTGGATTTTTATACGACCGCAAAAATTAAAAATTTTTTGGTCGTATATTGGTATGACGTTGTCGTCGTCGTCGTCGTCGTCGTCGTCGTCCGGCGTCGTCCGAAGACACATTGGTTTTCGCACTCTAACTTTAGTTTAAGTGAATGGATCTCCATGAAATTTCACCATAAGGTTCAATACCACAAAAGGAAGGTTGGGATTGATTTTGGGGGTTATGGTACCAACAGTTAAGGAATTAGGGGCCAAAAAGGGGCCAAAAATAAGCATTTTTGTAACTTTCAGACAATAACTTGTGTGTAAGTGTATGGATCTCTCTGACATTGTACCACAAGGTTCCATATCACAAAGGGAAGGCTGTAATTGATTTTGGGGGTAATTGCCTCAAAATTTTAGGAATTAGGGGCCAAAAAAGGGGCAAAAAACAAGCATTTTTCTAGTTTCATGACAATAACTTGTGTGTAAGTGTTTGGATATTTCTGAAATTGTACTACAAGGTTCCATATCACAAAGGGAAAGCTGGAATTGAGTTTGGGGGTAATTGCCCGAAACGTTTAGGAATTGGGGGCCAAAAAGGGGCCAAAAATAAGCATTTTTCTAGTTTCCAGACAATAACTTGTGTTCAAGTGTATGGATCTCTCTGAAATTGTACTGCAAGGTACCATACCACAAAGGGAAGGCTGGGATTGAGTTTGGGGGTGATGAATCATAAGGGGGTTCAAAAAATTGGGGGGGGGGGGATTTTTTTTTTTTTTTTTTTCTTTTTTTCCTTTTTTTTTTCTTTTAAAATTTTCCATTTTAAGTTGGTTATTTCTGATTTATATTTAAAAGCAAATAATAATGATATGGTAGGAGATACACACCAAACAGGATGTGTAAATTATTATATAATAAGTATTGTGCAATAGCAAGAAATTTTCAATTGCACAGTATTGCACAATAGCAAGAAATCTTCAATTGCACAGTATTGCGCAATAGCAAGAAATCTTCAATTTAACAGTATTGCGCAATAGCAAGAAATATCCAATAGCACAATATTGCGCAATAGCAAGAAATTGTCAATTGTACAGTATTGCGCAATAGCAAGAAATATTCAATTGCACAGTATTGTGCAAAAGAAGATACTTCGTATAAATTGCTTATTTCTTGATCAATTTCAATGGGGTTTTATTCTTGAATTCTTGGGGTTCTTTAATATGCTGAATCTAACCGTGTATTAAGTTTTTGGATTTTGGGCCCCGTTTTTAAATTGGTCCACATTGAGGTCCAAAGGGTCCAAAATTAAACTTTGTTTGATTTCATCAAAAATTGAATTATTGGGGTTGTTTGATATGCCGAATCTAACCGTGTATTTAGATTTTTAATTTTGGGTCCCGTTTTTTAAATTTGTCTACATTAAGGTCCAAAGGGTCCAAAATTAAACTTAGTTTGATTTTAACAAAAATTGAATTCTTAGGGTTCTTTGATATGCTGAATCTAAACATGTGTTTAGATTTTTGATTATGGGCCCAGTTTTCAAGTTGGTCCCAAGTTGGGGTCCAAAATTAAACTTTGTTTGATTTCAACAAAAATTGAATATATGGGGTTCTTTGATATGCTGAATCTAAACATGTATTTAGATTTTAGATTTTTGGCCCAGTTTTCAAGTTGGTCCAAATTGGGGTCCAAAATTAAACTTTGTTTGATTTCAACAAAAATTGAATATATGGGGTTCTTTGATATGCTGAATCTTACCATGTATTTAGATTTTTTATTTGTGGGCCCGCTATCAAATTGGTTCATATTGAGGTCAAAAGGGTCCAAAATTAAACTTTGTTTGATTTCATAAAAAATTGAATTATTGGGGTTCTTTGATATGCCAAATCTAACCGTGTATTTAGATTTTTAATTTTGGGTCCTGTTTTTTTAAATTGGTCTACATTAAGGTCCAAAGGGTCCAAAATTAAACTTAGTTTGATTTTAACAAAAATTGAATTTTTGGGGTTCTTTGATATGCTGAATCTAAACATGTGTTTAGATTTTTGATTATGGGACCAGTTTTCAAGTTGGTCCAAGTTGGGGTCCAAAATTAAACTTTGTTTGATTTCAACAAAAATTGAATATATGGGGTTCTTTGATATGCTGAATCTAAACATGTATTTAGATTTTAGATTTTTGGCCCAGTTTTCAAGATGGTCCAAATTGGGGTCCAAAATTAAACTTTGTTTGATTTCAACAAAAATTGAATATATGGGGTTCTTTGATATGCTGAATCTTACCATGTATTTAGATTTTTTATTTGTGGGCCCGCTATCAAATTGGTTCATATTGAGGTCAAAAGGGTCCAAAATTAAACTTTGTTTGATTTCATCAAAAATTGAATTATTGGGGTTCTTTGATATGCCAAATCTAACTGTGTTTTTAGATTTTTAATTTAGTGTCCCGTTTTTTAAATTTGTCTACATTAAGGTCCAAAGGGTCCAAAATTAAACTTAGTTTGATTTTAACAAAAATTGAATTCTTCGGGTACTTTGATATGCTGAATCTAAACATGTGTTTAGATTTTTGATTATGGGACCAGTTTTCAAGTTTGTCCAAGTTGGGGTCCAAAATTAAACTTTGTTTGATTTCAACAAAAATTGAATATATGGGGTTCTTTGATATGCTGAATCTAACCGTGTATTTTGATTTTGGACATTGGACCATAATAGGTAAATTAAAAAAATTGAAGTTCTTAGACCACATTCTTTCTGTGTCAGAAACCTATGCTGTGTCAAATATTTAATCACAACCCAAATTCAGAGCTGTATCAAGCTTGAATGTTATGTCCATACTTGCCCCAACTGTTCAGGGTTCGACCTCTGCGGTCGTATCAAGCTGCGCCCAGCGAAGCATTTTATTAGTATTGGTATTGTCATCTGATAAAGTCATGCTTATTATAAGATGCAGAGTCTGCTTTCAAAATCTTTCTGTTTGAACCTGTCCTGGTTTTCTTACTACAACTGGAAACTACATGTGACATGTACTATTGTATCGGTATCAGATTGGACCTGGAATTTGTTAATTATTGGCAATATTAATTATGTGAAAAAACAAAAGGGCCTAGGAATGGTGTAATTTTTAATCAACACTATTGTCCTATATTAGTTATATGTATAGTTGAATTCTTTGATTCATAGTTTTTATACGCCCGTTTACGGGACGTATTATGGTATACCGTTGTCCGTCTGTCCGTCTGTCCGTCCGTCCGTCTGTCCGTCTGTCCGTCCGTCGTCAACATGTCGGACATTAACTCAAAAATGCTTTAACCAATTTGCATAAAACTTTGGTGAATTGTTTATATCTATTGACGTGAGCTCCCTTTCGTTTTTTATAAATTTTAGATTTTATGTTTCAGAGTTATGGGGTTTTATTCATTAAAAAAAGGGGGATTTTCCAATTTTCGGACAATAACTCAAGAATACTTTCACCAACTTGCAAAAAAATTGTGGTGAATTGTTTATATCTATTGACATGAGCTCCCTTTCGATTTTTATAAATTTTAGATTTTACGTTTCCGAGTTGCAGGGTTTTATTAAAAAAAAAGGGGGATTTTCCAGTTTTCGGACAAATACTCAAAAATGCTTTCAGCAGTTCTTATGAAATTTTGGTGAATTGTTTATATCTATTGATGTAAGCTCCCTTTAGAATTTTATAAATTTTACATTTTACATTTCTGAGTTATTGGGTTTTATTCATTAAAAAAGGGGGATTTTCCAGTTTTCTGACAATAACTCAAAAATGCTGTCAGCAATTCCCATGAAACTTTGGTGAATTGTTTATATTTATTGATGTAAGCTCCTTTTGATTTTCATAATTTTCTAATATGACATTGAGAATTAATTGAACTTTATTTGTTTATAGTCTGACAACAGATTTACTAAGTATTGCGCAACAGCACAGTGTATTGCACAACAGCAAGAAATCTTTAATTGAATATAAATTCAATTCATATAACCAATTTCAAGTTCTTTGACTACATTTATTCAGAAACCTGTAATATGTCAAATATTTAATTACAATCCAAATTCAGACCTGTATCAAGTTTGAATATTGTGTCCATTTTTGCCCCAACTGTTCAGGGTTGGACCTCTGCGGGCGTATCCAGCTGCGCTCAGCGAAGCAGTTTATTACGTTATGCCGGCTAACATATTGGACCATGTTATTTTAGTAGTATAGATGTAATTGTTACATATTGAATATGAATTTGATTGTAGGTGATGGAGAAGATGATGAAATCCTTCAGGAAGATGAGAAGAAGTTATCCTTAAGTAAAGGAGAAAGGAGTCATTTGATAGTTTGGGAAGTGACTAGCTCATCATAATGTCAAATCACATGCATCGGTGGATATATTGGCATGGCTTAATTGTGACAAAGCTACCAAAATGTAATGTTCTTTTAAAAAACAATTGAATTAGTGAAGACAATCTATGTACCATGGAGTGGACTGGTTGGCAAGGTTCTTAGCCAGTTTCCGATTGAATACTTGAAATTTGGGGTGCAGCGATAAGAGAACAGCCTGTTGGCATTGTTGTGAAAATTACTGTTCCCCTGTTCACCCCTATGTTCCTGTTTAACTTTCATCATAATTCATATGGGATATGCATATAGCCTTCAGTGTAGACACCTGGGACCCTTCTTTGTTGTTTACCCCAAGCATTCATTAGTCTTGACCAGTATCAGAAAAATCAATTCTTTTCATTAAGCTGAGCTTTTTATGCCCCTGCTGTTTTGGCTTGGAGAAAATATTTTTTACATGAAGAAAAATTACAGCACAACATCACTTTCCTTTTACCACCCAAAATGAATTTTGATAAACAATTAAAAATTTCTCATCCTAAACTTTCCTTACACAACCCAACCTACCACCCACACCCTCAATTCACAAATGCAGTGCAAATGGAGTTTACCAAATGTCCCCAATTTATTCTAGATTATTTACACTAAAAATACTTGGAATACCAGCAATGTCACTGTATAATCAAGAGGAACTAGGTCAGGTTTCTATGTAAACAGACTTTAATATCCTTGATGGAACAAGATTAGTATTCATCATTCTCTGTATACAACTTATATTTATCAAACCTAGTTATAACATATAATCTAAATTTAACCAAAGGCAAGACTTTTATTTAGCTATTTTATGAAGGACATTGTTAGATACAATATAAATCGTAACAATTACATCAAATGTCCGAGGGACAAACATTGCTTTCTTATGTATTACAAGTTTTACGAGAGGAAACAATCTAATTTAAGATCTTGTTTCTTGTAATGAGATAACATGATAGTTGTAAAGGTATTAACTTTCTGAGTTAAATTAATTATAGGCTTTGCTTTTCAATCAAATTCTTTCTATAAATAGAGTTAAGTGGATATTCCTTAGAAAACCAGATTTCCATTATAGCAGAAAAACTCATTATTATTTCTGCTTTAATATACTTAATATTTCATGTCATTGAAAATAATTTGAAATGAATAAAATTCTGTGAATGATTACTATGAATATCAGTGATATAACTTTCCATAGCCACTCACTCCAGAATTACTGAAATTTGTCTGTTTTTTATCATACTGGTATAGATTAAGCAATAATCAGATTTTAATTTCCTGAACAGTTTGATTTGGGTTTGTAAAACCTAGACATTTTTATGGTTATTGAAGTATCAAAAGATATTTTAATGTTGAGCTATTTTAATTGAAATCAGCAAGCCAGTTCTTGATGTTTCATTGCTAAATTATTGTGGAAAACATTTTCTAACAAATATTATTTAACAAGACCAGAAATTTTAAACAAGATACCATTAAGTCACTTTAAAATTATTATAGATATTGTTGTAGTATTTTAATATTATGTCTAAGGATTCTTACCTGTGAACATCTTAGGATTCCATTACTGTAAACAAATAATGAGGATGTGTTAGTGTAAAATGAGGTATATATCCCCCTATTTTAATTGAAAATTTATACATCTTTTCTATATACTCTCATATAACAAATAATTAAGTAATTTAGATAATAATTAGGATCATGGTGCTCTTTTGTTAGGGGATGGTGAGACCTCATTGTTTGTTATGCTTTTAATGACTTTTACTCAAGTTTTATGAGAAACTTGAGTTAGAAGGTGCCAAACCTAATATGGGGTGTGAAAGGTCAGGATTCTGGTCCTTAATTCATAAAGGTTGCATAAAATTGTAGTCCAGTGCAAAGCTTTGTCTATTGTTGCAATTGCTCATAAATGTCATCAAAGCAATTTATAAGATATAGAATGCATTTTATTTGTTTCCATTATTGTAAATTTTATGACATGAACAATATTTTTATCTTTGTTTAAAGTCTGGAATAAGACTGGAATGAAATAAAATTTGTTACAAGGTTTTAAGCGTATAGATAGTAAATTCTTGATTAAGTTATCACTTAATTAGATAAGTTATGTTTGTTTCATGTGGAAGTGATACCATTTGGAAGCATTACCACTGCCCAAGCTTTTTTGTTCCATGTGGAAGTGTTATTGGAAGCGTAACCACTGCCAAAGCTTACATGGCATACATGATTTTATTCTGTTACGTTTGTTTGATATGTTGTTATGTTAATGTAGGTTAAAATATTTTTGATTCCATTTTATTACCACATGGTTTCAATGTAGAGGAAGTTATCCATAATTCCCAATCATTTTTCTACAGGATTGGATGATGTGGTTTTGCATAATTATCTAAAATTTTGTGTTCAATTTATTGTATGAAGTTCAAGATTGCAAGTTGTTAATTTGAAACAAGTTTTATGTATGTTTGTATTGCTCCTTTGTTTTGTCTGTATGAACATATGACTGACTGTCATGTAGGTGAAATGTTTTGTGCTGTGCAATAAGTGACTGTAAAAAGTCAGGACCATGACAGTCAGTCACCATTGGTTCCTACAAGATGATTTTTTTTAAAGTGTGCTAGGTGGGTCGTTTTGGAAATGGTTTAGAATTATGGATAGCTCCTAATTACAAGAAGTATAAAACCATCTTCGAAAGTTCACTATTCAATTAATAATAAATCTGTATTAAATTTAAAAACAGCAAAGTTTTTGCCACAATTTTCATTTGTAAGTAGTTGATTGACATATAAATGTTTTGTGTCAACATAAGGTAATCCATTATATTAAAACAATAAAAAAGTTTCATTCTTATCATTGGAACAAGCTGTAAAAGCTTCAATGTTACCTTCTTCTGTCTTATATCTGATATTGAACTTCCAATGGTGTTTTTATATTTCTTGTATTTTGCTGTAGGTCTGCTTGTTATTTTAATTTATTTGGTTATTATTGTTCAGTGGAGTGTTTTGTTGTTGTTGTTTTATCACAAAGTTTGTTTATTGACAGTATTTACCTGATGTCGAAAGATTGTCTTTCTTAGCAAGCACTTTCATCGAAATATTAATACAAAGAGAAATGTTTGGTGGAAATAATTTCCAGAGAAACTTTCAAATTAAATTTTTCTTAGTTGTGCAACTGTTTTTACAATTTACATTATTGGAGTTCCCCAAAAATTCTTGATTTGGAAAGAATTTTATTTACTGATGTTCATATTCCCTAATGCATCAAAACTACACATGGCCTTGTTATATGTAAGTTTGGCTCCATGCAGTTGTGTTAACATGTCTACTTACTTAGAATATCAATGTTTTTTGCAGAGAGGGATCTGAATCTGGTTAAGTCTGGACATTCTGTATCACATGAGATTTACACCCAAACTTTTACAGGTGTTAACTGATTTTCCTGCAACTTTGCTTGTTCAATTTTTAAATTTACCGAGAGGGAGTAGAGCTATTTGAATATTTGTTTGTTATTAAAATCAATATTGCTCAGTTGAAAGGACTTACTTTAGGTGATTTTATCGTAGATTTACCAAAGTTCCACCTGAGAAATTACATTGGCAACACTGAATGTTTTCATTTGAATACCTTTAATTAAATTAAATTAATATGTTACAGAGGAATTTGTTAACAGATGTATGAGTTTTGGTGTAAACCTATTTTTTATGTATGTCCTTTAACATTATATAGTTTCTAAAATATGCAAATATGGTATTTATATATTTGTGAGGTGACCTGTTACTGTATATGATTATTATTCTGTGGTTATGTTGTCGCTACATGTATGTCTATCATTTTAAAGCAATTGTTAATGGTGCCTCTTTGAACAAATTTAATAGAACAACTAGTTTGCTTTCTTCATCTTATCATCATTACATTGTATTTTCACATCAATTAAAGTTTGATCTGTTAATGAGATATAGGCATGGATATTATTAAATGCTAAATTATATTGCTGTAGACCTAAAATTATTTGTTAATCTAATATAAGATGTAATATATTATATAAATCACATTAAAGATGTTAATTGCAAAGTACATAATATTATTAATTACTTCTTGCCCACTCCAATTTTTTATGGGTCAACTTTCAGAAGATGTGAGTCTCTGTGACTTTTGTTTAAACTGCAAAACTACACCATAATAAAATAATAAAATGTAAAAGAGAGGCTAAAGGAATATTCCAACTCATGAGTTAAAAAGCAAACTGACAATGCCATGACAAACAGTTAAAAAAAAGATCAAATATTCCTGTAAAGAAGATGTGTAAAAGGGCCATAAATCTTAAATGAAAACAAAATGCAAGCTCAGTGGTTGTTTCTTAATTTACAACTACAAACCAAAAATCAGATTAATAGCTGGAATCACATCAAAAGACGATGAAGTGGTCAAGTGCAATTTTCATTTAATTTGAAGTCCAAGGATATCAAAAACACGTCAATTTCTAAAAGGATGCTAGAAAAAGGTCATCAAAGTTGCAACTTATAAGAAAGAATTGAAAATCCAACCAATATAATATATTTCATTCAGAATTAGGAAAACCTGATCAAAATCAGTGTTATTTATAGTTATTACTCATCACTGTGCACCTACATGATAAAAACTCACATGATGATATCTGCACCTACATGATAAAATCTCAAAGGATGATATCTGCACCTTAATGATAAAATCTCACAGGATATCAGCACCTACATAATAAAATCTCAAAGGATGATATCTGCACCTACATGATGAAATCTCAAAGGATGATATCAGTATCTACATGTTAAAAATTCACAGGATGATATATGCACCTACATCATAATAACTCAGGATGATATATGCACATACAGATGTAAACTCATAGGATGCATCTACATGATAAAAAATCATAGGATGATATCTGCACCTACTGATAAAACTCAAAAGATGATATCTTCACCTACATGATAAAAACTCAAAAGTTGATATCTGCACCTACATGATCAAACCTCTCATGATATCTGCACCTACATGATAAAATCTCAAAAGATGATATGAGCATCTACATGTTAAAATCTCACAGGATGACATCTGCGCCTACATGATAAAATCTCAAAGGATGATATCTGCACCTACATGATCAAACCTCTCATGATATCTGCACCTACATGATAAAATCTCAAAAGATGATATGAGCATCTACATGTTAAAATCTCACAGGATGACATCTGCGCCTACATGATAAAATCTCAAAGGATGATATCTGCACCTACATGATAAAATCTCAAAGGATGATATCTGCATCTACATGTTAAAAATTCACAGGATGATATATGCACCTACATGATAAAAATTCACAGGATGATATATGCACCTACATGATAAAAATTCAAATGATGACATCTGCACCTACATGATAAAATCTCAAAGGATGATATCTGCACCTACATGATAAAATCTGAAAGGATGATATTTGCACCTACATGGTAAAAATTCACAGGATGATATCAGGCCTGGGGCCATTACATTGCAATGTAATGCATTACATTACAATTACTTTGCATGTGTAATGTATTACATCACACATTACTTTTTCAATATAAAAACTAAAAACATTTAAAAAACAGATTTTTATAAGAAATTGATAAATATTACCGGGGTATATGTACATATATATACAGTGTTAGTGACATAGACTTCAAATACTTGAAAAATAAATAAATTATCATATAATTTTGTTTCTAACATTGATCACTTAATCATTAAGACATCATAAAGGGATTTCAAAGGGATATATTAAATGTGCAATTAAAGGATTATCTTGTTAAATGCCTAAGGACTCGGTGAGGACAAACATAAGTTGAGAAGATTTGAAATACATGTAAGGTGTGTATAGAATAATGAAAATTTCATCTTCATATTTTTTCCATTCATTTATATAAATATAGTTTTGTTTAATAATTATTTTTAGAAGATTTTTTAAGGGCAAACTATCTGTAATGATTTAATACAGTAATTAACTGTGACAATAATTTTATTCAATACTTTCTTTTGTTTTTGTTAATATTTATTTTTATTTTACTATATTCTTCAATTTTATGTATTTTACCAATTTGTAATGAAAAGTAATGTACAGTAATGGAAGCATTACATCAAAAAAATGTAATATTACAATGCATTACAATTACAAATTACCATTACCCCAGGCCTGGATGATATATGCATCTACATGATAAAAATTCTCAGATGATATATGCATCTACATGATAAAAATTCTCATATGATATATGCATCTACATGATAAAAATTCAAAGGACGATATCTGCACCTACATCATAATAACTCATAGGATGATATATGCAACTACATGATGAAAACTAATAGGATGCATCAACATGATAAAAACTCATAGGATGATATCTGCACCTACATGATAAAACTCAAAAATGAGATCCTCACCTACATGATAAAAACTCAAAAGTTGATATCTGCACCTACATGATAAAACCTCTCATGATGATATCTTCACCTACATGATAAAAACTCACTATGATGTCTGCACCTACATGACTGCAAAAACAATTAAAAGTTTGGAGAGCAGTTATATTTTTGGAGAATGTACTATGGTAAAACTGGCAATCTATTGGTAAGATACCCAAACATTTTTGATAATAGCTTTAATATTTAGCAGTAACTTTTAATGTATGAAAACAACACCAAAAGCAAATGCATGGTATGATTTGAGTACATACAGCACTTTCAGGAATAATTTTCATTTGATATGCTTCGGACCTAAAAAGTTTGGAAAACCAAAAATAAATTTGAAAACCCAAAGGATCCAAACAGTGTTGATTCCTTGTACACTTGAAAATTTAGGTTTACAAAGTCATTTTGATTCCGTATACACTGGATATAGTTTAGATAGGTTTGATAAGTCATGTTAGTTCCGTGTACACTGGATAGTATATTATTACATAGTCATGCTGATTCCGTGTGCATTTTATTGATTAGGTTGGCTTAGTTATGTTTATTCTGTGTACACTTGATAGTTTAGGTTTTCTTGGTCATGTTGATTCCGTATACACATGATAGTTTATGATTACTTAGTCATGTTGATTCCGTGTACACTTGATAGTGGATGATTGCCAAGTCATGTTGGTTCCGTGTACACTTGGTAGTTAAGGTTTGCTTAGTCGTGTTGATTCCTTGTACACTTGATAGTTTAGGTTGGCTTAGTCATGTTGATTCCGTGTACACTTGATAGTTTAGGTTGGCTTAGTCGTGTTGATTCCTTGTACACTTGATAGTTTGGGTTGGCTTAGTCATGTTTATTCCGTGTGCACTTGATAGTTTAGGTTGGCTTAGTCGTGTTGATTTCGTGTACACTTGATAGTTTAGGTTGGCTTAGTCATGTTGATTCCGTGTACACTTGATAGTTTTTGTTTGCTTAGTCGTGTTGATTCCTTGTACACTTGATAGTTTAGGTTGGCTTAGTCATGTTGATTCCGTGTACACTTGAAAGTTTAGGTTGGCTTAGTTGTGTTGATTCCTTGTACTCTTGGCAGTTTATTATTACTTAGTCATGTTGATTCCGTGTACACTTGATAGTTTATTCATACTGAGACATGCTGATTCCGTGTACTCTTGATAGTTTATTATTACTTAGTCATGTTGATTCCGTGTATACTTGATAGTTTATTATTATTTGGTCATGTTGATTCCGTGTACACTTGGTAGTTTAGGTTGGCTTTGGCATGTTGATTCCGTGTACACTTTATAGTTTAGGTTGGCTTTGACATGTTGATTCCGTGTACACTTGATAGTTTAGGTTGGCTTTGACATGTTGATTCCGTGTACACTTCACAGTTTAGGTTGGCTTTGACATGTTTATTCCGTGTACACTTGATAGTTTAGGTTTGCTCAGTCATGTTTATTTAGTGTATACTTGATAATTTAGAACTGTTTAGTAATTTTGATAGCTTATATTTCTTCAGTTACTAGTACATAGATTTCTTGTTCAGTTCATAGCATATTTCTGATATGCTTAGTCACAATGATTTCGTTCTTACTTTATAGTTCATGTTGATGTAGTTGTGCTAGATAATTCATGTATCTATCATCTATAATAGTTTCTAGGATGTTAGACAAAAATGCGGTATGGGTTTTACTCATTGTTGAAGGTAGAACGGTGACCTATAGTTGTTAATTTCTGTGTCATTTGGTCTCTTTTGGAGAGTTGTCTCATTGGCAACCATACCACATCTTATTGTTATATTGAAGGACGATAACTTCATTTAGGCGTCGACTGACGGTGTCGGCCATGTTGCCTTATTTATAGTTCTGGTCTTGCTGATCTTTTTTGCCATATAAAGTTTCTCTTTATATTTTATAGTTTTAAGATAATAGGCAAAAATGAAACTAATTGGTAAAATTTGTCATTTTTAACCGGATTTTCGAAGGAAAAAATCGGTTATTGATTTGGGGATGAACGGCGAGCGGGCAGGCAGGAGGCTGTCAAACAGTGTCCGTTCATTAACATGCAAACGCTTTGACGATTTTTTTTCAAATTTTGATATGTTGTTTCCTGTGACTAAATGAAGGTAAAGTTTAAATTTCACGATTTTAGCTTCTCTCGGTTTTGACTTTTCGACTATTTAGTCCAAATATATACTTATTATATGATTGAGTTATTTCCCTTTGAACAGAAATTGTGATTTGCAAATATCATTTTCATTAGATGATAATTTATTTTTATTAAAGGATATGTTTCATTACATTACATTGTGGAGATAAAATTGTTGACATTGATAGATAAGTTGCAGATCTATATTAGTTTGTGACAAATGAAAGAAAAAATATTGGGAACTATTAATTATATATATATAAAGTTTAATTACACTAAGTGTTTTTAATAATTTTCACCTGTTAATAGATAACAAAACATCAGGTAAATATCTTATCACACAATTATAATTGGAGTGACAGATTTATTTGAAAATTTTCTGTTTCCTAAGTGTTGATGATAAGATAAATAAAGTTTGAAATTTTCTGTTCATTATAAGATATTTTGA